CCAGAAAAAGTGTAAAAGATACGCAACGTCTCTAGAAAATGGGGAAATACAAAATGAAGCAATATTGATAAAAATTTTTTTGTTCACAAAATTATCAGAAATTAAAATGATAGGATACACATGGGAATAGGTTTTGTCATACTGTGTTGGATGTAAATTGGTGCAACCATTTTGAAGGGCAGTTTGGGGACACCAGTTATTATTTAAAGTGCTCCCTTTACTGAACAATGCCACTTTTTTCATATCTCTCTTAGAAAATTATTTGCATACATTCAAGTAAAGGTATCTAGAAGGATCATTGCAACATTATTTGTACTAAGGAAAAATTGGAAAGTACCTAAATACCAACAAAGAAATGGTTAGCTGACAGTGGTATATTCATATTGAGGTATTCTGCATAAGCATTTCAAAATAGTTATTTGTTGCATGGAAAAGTCAAGACATACTGTTAAATGTTTTTTAAACGTTTCAGACTAATGTCTGCAGAATGCTATCATGTGGGTAAAAAAGTAAAACCTCCAAAACATTACTAATCTAAAGCACTTACTGCTCAGGAGGAATAGAGTAGTTTTAAATGGTCTGTTTTTGCAATCAAATGGATTTGACCTACTAATGGAAATTTTATTTTCCACAGGTGAGAAGCCTCTTCCTCTTAAAACAGCATTGCAAAAAAAGAGGAGTTATGGCAATGCATTTAATCATCCCAGTGTTGTACGATTACAAGAGAGTGATTCTTTAGCCACCAGCATTGATCCAAAAGAAGATCACAATTATAGTGCAAGTAGCATGGCAGCACAGCGTTGTGCATCCAGGTCTAGTGTGTCTTCTCTGTCTTCTGTGGATGAAGTGTATGAATTTATCCCAAAGAGTGGCCATGTGGGAAGTGATGGCAGTGAAGGATTTCACAGTGAAGAAGATACAGACGTTGATTATGAAGATGATCCTCTTGGAGACAGTGGCTATGCATCACAGGCTTGTGCAGATACCTCTGAAAAAGGGCAGTCAGGCAAAAAGATGCGTAAGCAGTCATGTCAAGAAATTGATGAGGAGCTCAAAGAGGCAGCTGGTTCTCTGCTGCACCTTGCTGGAATCCGTACATGTCTAGGTTCCCTAATAAGTACTGCAAAGACGCAAAATCAAAAGCAACGAAGAAAATAGAAATACTACTAGTGTAAAATTATTTTAAAGTGTGGCAATACTTTTTCTTAATCCTTTACAAGGGATATCAAAGCCATAATGGACTTATTTAGTTTTAGGATAGGGGATGGGTATTAATTACTTGTTTCTTTGAAAACATTTTTGCTTTTTGTTTCTTAAAATTTTTATTCTACAATTGCTGTTAGGATCATGCCTGATCATAAACACATGATAAGAAGTCCTAAAAGCATAATTTTTGTGATAAGTGTCTCTAAGATTTGGAATTTTTGTATAAGAAAAACCCTAGCCTCTATCTTAAACTTGTAGGAAACTCTTTTCGTCTGTTTATATGTCAAAATGTAAGATTTGGAAATTCTATAACTTTTTAAAAATGTTCGTTTCCAATCTGTAATTAACTGTAGCTATTGATCCTGCTATAAATTTTGCTGATGTCATTTTCATGTACTCCTCTCCTGATACACAATCCAGTGAGATAAGATTTGGGTTTTTTTTTTAATTTTGTTCTAATTTTTGTTTTTAATTATTTTTTGTTGTAGCATGAGCAAAGTCAAATATAAATTGGAAGAGATTCTGGATGTCTAGAAAATTCCTTTTGATTACACAGATAGAGAAGACAACAAAGAATTCTAAGATTTAGAAAAGGCAACTTTGTGGTGTGATTTCATCTAAGGACACTCCCCATTCCTATTACAATGGTATCTTTGAAATGTTTTTACTTCATAGATGTTGCATAGCATTTAACAGGGCCCTTGTAATTTCCCAAAATGTTTTGCAGACATTAAGTTTTAGCCACTAGCTGCCTTTGTTGAGTAGAAGTTATCCAATAAAAGGATATAGCCATAGAGTGTGTTATGGAATAACATCCATTTTGACACACTTTTGCAATAAGAGAATCTTTCATTTGCTTGCCAAATATGTACTGCATTCTGAGAATCTTGTAATAGGAATGGAGTGTAATAAAATATATTGAATACTGATTACCTCTGTTATAAATAAAGGTAGGTCATTTAGGAAAAAACTTCTTTCCAAGCTTTGAATGAATTAAATTCATTTGAATACCAAATTAAATTTTTAAAAACTTAATGAACCCATAGAGACAAAATACCTTCAGGGATTTCGAAATCTGGATAAAATTAGGTCTTATACAGTACAACCTTTTGAGGAGACAGTGTAATACTCATGTGCCATTAATTCATGCTAAAAGATTTTTATATTATCGTTCCAAAAGTGCATTGACTAGGTGTTTTAAATATTTGAGTAAATCTGCGTATATGAGATAATTTTACATAATATCATTTGTATAGTTTGACTAGATTATTCAGAAAGAAAAGGGATAACTAATAAGCTAAGCTTGCTCATTATATATTTTTTTACAATGGTGGAAGCAACTTTCCCAAAGTCCAGTCTTATGTTAGATGTGTATCCTGTCATAAGACAATGACCTTGTTTTCACTTTTCTGATAGATACGTATGTGTACACAGACAGACTCACATATACCTGGTATGCACAGTCAAGTTCATGATGTTGATTTGCTGCTTTCAACTGTTCTGTGACTATGAAAGCATTTTCTTGGATTTTTTTAAAGAGACAAATATTTATATTTTACTTCTGAATTTTATTTGGGCAAAACTGTCAAATGAGAACGACAACAAAAACATCTTTTTCAATTAATAAGACTATAAGCCAGGGATAACAGTATTAATGTTCTCTGTCCTGTTTCCATGTCAGTTTTAATTTAACCTGGATAGCCATACTGATAGAATTGGTGCTGTTGAAATATAGTAATGTTAAAATCTGAGAATGAAAAAGCCCTTAAGCATGCAGAATGAATAAAGCACCAGAAAGAAATGCTTTTGCCACAGTATAAATAAATAATAGAGATTACACAAATCATTTTAATAATAATATTTTTAAGTTACTACCATAGCTTTCTGGATAGAGCTTAGTAACAATGTTTGAGTGATCTGGTTCCAGTTTATATTGTTCTACTGAAATTCTATATCACAGATGTTCAACAAAATCCCTGTACATTAGATAATTACTCTTGAGAAGTAAAGGAAAATGACCGAAGATGAGAAGGAGTGGATTTATTTCCAGCTCTAACAAGGGATCTTCAAAGTTATTTTTTGTCTTGACATACATAACTCTTTGAACTCTTTGATTTTTTTCTCTCCTTCATGTACTCTTCTCTCAAATTTAAATGCTTAAGTTAACACATATCAAGGGAAGGATAATAAACACTTGTGCACTGAAAGCTAGCAAGGAGAAGTTACACAACATTTTATGCTTAATTCTTATACAGAATATAGTGCATCTGTGTAAGTTTCCACTTGCTACCGTACCAAGGCAGTTATATTGAAGGGGAAGAATCTTTTTCCTTATGGTCCCCCTGTTATTGTTATTTCCATAGAAATTATGATCTCATTCCTCAGGTGTGTTGAAATAGAAACATGGTTGGTAACCACTAGTAAGGAAAGTCATTCCAGGTCCTATAGACTGGAAATTGCATTCTCAAAACTAAATTTTACTATAATAAAAATAACTTGGAAACCCCAGAGAGGTTACATGTTTTCCCACATTATTTAAAACTTTTAGCTAATTGTCTTATGTGAAAATAATATAAATTTTGTTGCAACAGATTCCAGTTTATAATAGATCCCTGGTAAAAATTTGGATTCAGCATAGCATAATTGATCTTCATCTTTCACACCTCAAATAGAATCAGTGTTTCTTGAATATGTATTTTTGAAATTTATTTGTGCAATATATTACTAAATTAGTATTGTATTTTACTTTTCAAATTCAGAGAAAGAAAACAGTACTTGTAATTCATGGAAAAACTAATTGTCAGTGGATCACCTCCCTTTTTCCACCTTTGAGCCTTTCTGTCTTCATAGCTAGCATGACTTCTCTTAAATTAGATTCATTTGTATATAGTAAAGTTTAGTATATATTTTTTTCTTTCGCTATTTTCTGAGGCATTATTGTAAAGAGTTCATATTAGATAGTTAAATACACTTTAGTATAAACGCAAAGCTAGAGCAAGTGTTAAAGGGGGAATATATATATATATATATGTGTGTGTGTGTATATATATATATATCGGTAGACCAGGAAGCCTTTAAATCAACAGATGTGAATACTTCACAAAGCTGTAAAGACTAATGTCTTAAATACTACAGTAACTTAACACCTTTTTGTGAAGACCACAGCATTTATGTAAGAAGCTTTGAGGCTTTCTGATTTACATACATTTTATAGTTTGTTAGTTTGAAACGTGTCTGAGCTTTGACTTAATGTTTACTTCATTATGTTAATGATGTAGTCAAAATATTTATTGAAAGACAAATTAGGGTATTTTAATGTTACACCTGCCATTTTTTCTTAAAGCACATTTTTTGCATCTAACTGCCAGTGCCATTATCAAAACTTATTTTTAAAATTGTTGTACATTTCTTATTAAACTAAGTGCTTAGTTTTAAAGTATTATGTTGCCATCATATAGTGTATAAAAAATGTATAATTGCCAATTCATTGTAACTATTATTTATTTTTAAATGAAAGTGTGAGAATGCTTTCTGATTCAAAAAATTTGTTATTAAACTGTTTCCTCATCCTCTTTTCTGATGTAGCATAAAGCTTGTCCTGAGTTTGAGTTATAACTGCCAGTAGATGACCAGTCACAAGTGAACCACTTCTCGGTTGCCAGTCTTTGCTCATATATATTAAAAACAACTTACAGATGTTTAGTTTTTGTATCTAACCCCTGATTATTAAAATGTTTATAAAGTTTATTTTTACCAAAGAGATGCAATTCATTATGATAAAGTATTGCAGAATAAACTTTGTTTTGTAACATGTTTGTGCTTTTTCTGTTCTTCTGTGGAGAAGAGTGGACGTGGGGGGAGAAGGTAGTGTGGGTGGCTCATACTTAACAAACACTTTCCATTATATTACTACAGTTGGAATCATAGAAACATGAAGAATACAGTATCAGTTTAAGAATTTTTACAAATCTGGATTAAGTATTATTCTACTGGTTTTTGTTGTTGTTGTTGTTTTTTAATTGAGACAGTCCCACTTTGTTGCCCTTAGTAGAGTGGTAGAGTGCTGTGGTGTCACAGCTCACAGCAACCTCAAACTCTTGGGCTTAAGCAATTCTCTTGCCTCA